ATATATATATATATATATATTGATATTGATGTTTTCTTTTTGACCGACATCACTTTCTTTTCAATTTTGATTAGTTATTATTAATTCCTATGAAATTCGTATTGAAGATAATTATCTGATCAATATATTTTGATAATTTTTGAAAGTAGTAGATTAAAAAATCATAAATCCTCTTTCGAATTTCATAAGAATTCTAATCGCTATCTCTAAAGTTGAAAAGGAAGTGACGTCGGTCAAGAAGAAAATATCGATGCCAACCGCGGAGAGATTTGATAAATAGGAGTCGAATCGAAGGCAACGGATCGCGCATTCCAAGATGGCATTGTCCTCCTCGTGGCACGAAGAAATGCATAACGATGAGCTGCGCGAAGGCTCGCGCGAGATTTTCATATGGCATACAAAGTCGCTAACGGGATCTAACACCGTCGAAAAACAAAGGATAGAAAGAGAGAGAGAGCTACGTGTACTGGGATACGCGTACACGTGTGTTCCTTTGGTTATTAACGTTCCAACAACGGTTCGCCATATGCGTGCTCATGAGAACCGAGGGGAGGTTGCTCGAATGGCAAAAAGTTATTTTCAGCGTGGAACACGGGCTTCTTATGAACTGAACGGCTGAGACCGATTTCGGTGGACGGCCATCTTTCTCTCTCGAGACAATTTTAGGTAAATATTTAGAAAAAAATTAGATCAAATAAATCTTCTGAATCTATTTATTAAAATAATTATCAATTTAACCTAATCATGAAACCAGAAATTAAATAAAAATTCATTTAATTGTTTCAGGCATTTAGTCTAGTTTTCTTAATCTGGCAACGATGATGACCTAACCTAACTTAAACTAATTCGATTTATTTCAGAATAATGATCTTGAGAACGCTTGAAAAAAACATCAGGATGGAGGATAATAGTCTTTTTGTAAATAATTAGTTTCCAATTTTAATAAGAGTAAGAGTGATAAATTTCGCGCAAATAGTTGGTTTTCCTTGTAAAATATAAGATGGTGTACGATTCCTATATGTCTTGCCTAATGCAATCATCGTTATATACGGTGATCGCATGCAATTTTTCATCGGGCTCGTGCTAGGTATGTTTAACAAGCGTGGTTGGGAACGAAGTTTCTTCCGTGATGGGAGTAATTTTTATCGAAGATGAAGAGGCTTGTGTTAAAATCGATCTCGTGGTCACCCCTTGCTCACCTCCACGAAAGAATTTCCCCCCTCCATCTTGCCTTGACCCTCTTTCTCAAGATACAACACCCGCTCTCTTATTTTTACACGTGGAATTTTTAAACTTTTCCTCTCATTTAAATTGGTAATTCTTTGGATCCTACCGATCCTTATTATCCAATTTAGCATTTTTATTTTTCCTGTGAAACAGGCTCGGATCGGACTTCCATCCACCCTCGGATGGAAAGATTTGTATGCAGGCGAGAAAGTTTTACGAAAGTTTTATGAACAATTGGAAGGAAATATTCTCTTGATGGACAAACGAATATCATTTGTGGAAATAAAAATGTGTCAGAATATTATTTGCTACTTTTTTTCATTCGCATAATAAAAGTGAATATCCAGATATTTGTTAATTTTTTATGATATTCAATTTCATTCGCACATTTCTAAAAGCATGAAAGTGTTTATTAGTTTTTCAATTTGCTTGAAATGATTAATCTATACGCTCTAAAAATACTTCAAATACTAATTTTTGATATTTGATTCGTACGAATATGATTTTAATTTGCACGTTAATATTTCATAATATTCGCGCGAAATTTAAAAATATTCAAATATTCGGTTCGTATGAATATGATCTAATCACTGATCTAAAAATATTCAAATATTAATTCTTCATAATGTTCGCGCGAAACTTATTCGATTCGATCTAATTATATTACCATATCTAAAAATATTCAAATATTAATTTTTCATAATATTCGCGCGAAATTTAAAATGATATGATGAATATGATGAATTATATTACTATAAAATATTAATTTTGAATTATATTACTCTAAAAATATTAATTTTTCATAATATTCGCGCGAAACTTAAAAATATTCAAATACTAATTTTTCATGATACTCGATTCGTATGAATATGATCTAATCACTCGATCTAAAAATATTCAAATATTAATTCTTCATACTTCAATATTCGATATGAATATGATTCTACTCTGCGTTATCATATTTAAAAATACTCAAATACTAATTTTTGATACTTGATTCGTATGAATATGATCTAATCATATTATCACATCTAAAAATATTTCAAATACTAATTTTTGATACTTGATTCGTATGAATATAATCTAATCATATTATCATATCTAAAAATAC